TTTTTGAGATAGGGTCTCACTATATAGTTCAGGCTGGCTTTGAATTCACAGCCATAATACCAAGTTCAGGATTTACAGGCATGTGCCACCACACACTGCCTAACTACTTTTTTAAAAAGGTGTTTCAAAACGTATAATTTTCTTTCTTATGTTCACAAAATTGTGCAATCATCTCTACTACCTAATTCCAGAACATTTTATTACCCTGTGAAAAAAGCCCATTCCCAATAACAGTTGTGTCCTTTTTCCTTTCCCTTCAGCCCCTGCCTGCCACCACACATCTTATTTTAAAGATAGGAAAATTGAGGCCTAGAGAGGGACAGTCCCTTACCTAACATCACATCAACAGCTAGTGCCAGAGTCAGGAGCACAGCCCAGGGCTCCCAACACCGAGCCTGCCACAGTCAGTCAAACTGAGTTCTCTTGGGCACTCTCAGACCTGCTCTGCTACCTGGTATGAAAGGTGTTTAGCAAGAGACTGTTGAATGGAGCCTACCAGGCAGATGTAACACCCCCCTCCCCGCCGCAGCTGTGACAAAGCCCTCAACTTTTTAGAGGTTACTTGTGCCCAGAATGATGCTGAAGGCTTTTGAGGCATAGGAGAGACACTTAGGGTGCCATCTCCAACTCCTCAATAGCCAACGTCCTTCCATGGCTAGGGACGCTTTTACCCTCAGATGAGCACAGGGCCTCCTCCTCCCTCCATCAGCATCCTGTCAAAGGCCCCTTTTCAGCGAAGCCCGGCCTGTCCACCTTACGTGAAGCTGCACCCAGGCCCTGCTCCCCCCTGAGGGCACTCTCCATCCTTCCTGCAGATCGAGTTTTCCTCCATAGCTGCTACCATTAACCATCTGACATGCTGCATCCTTCTGCTATGGTTTGGATATAGTGCGCCTTGCCCTCAAAGATTTACGTGCTGAAGCCTGGTTCTCAATGTAATGGATATGAGAGGCAGTGGGATCTTTGAAAGGCAGTGGGAGGTGATTAGATCATGAGGGTAAAACTTTCATGAATGAATTAACATTTTTCTGGAGAGACTGGATTAGGTCTCATTGGAGTGTGTTGGATCTCTCCAGGATGGACTTGTTTTGGCAGAGTGGATTGTTATAAAGCACTTTAAGCCTCCCCATCTCTCTCTCTGTCACATGTGCTCCTTTTATACATGCTCACTTCCCTTTTATCTTCTGTACGTAAGTTTATATAGCATGAGGTCTTTACAAGAAGCTCATCAGATGCAGCCATGCAATCTTGAACTTCCCAGCCTCCAGAAACATGAGCCAGAATGAAGTAACCAGCCTTGAGTATTTTGTTTGTTTTTTGGTATTGGTGGGGATGGAACTCAGGACCTTGCACCTGTGAGGCAGGCAGCAGCCCCACTGAGCTAAATCCCCAGCTACAGCCTTGGGTATTTTGTTACACATTAGAAGATTAAGACACCTTCTTTATCTGGTCATTGTCTTCCTCCATCATGTAGCTCCACCAGGGGATGAGTTTTGCCTGCTGTGTTCACCGCTCTACCAGTTTTTGGAACAGTGCCTGCTATACAGAAGGTGTCAATCGAATGACTGGATGGTTGGCGAATGTTGCATCCTTTAACAGCAGTACTGAGGAGAAGGGCTATTATTCCTGTTTTATAGATCACAAGAGAGGTCCAGAGAGCTCATCTGGGCGTTTGAAGCAAGTGCTTCTCCCCCTGACCTTGGTCCTCTCAGAAGATCCTGGACTAGGGTCAGGCTGACCTTGGGGGAGCAGGGTCCAGGCTCCCAGTGTTTGCCATTGTTTTAGGGATTCCAGAAACCACAGTCAGTTTCAGAAACAGCCTCTCCTCCTTCTTGGAGTAATTCAGCAGCTCACGTATTCCACACCTTAGCCAAACTGGAAAAAAAAGAAAGCAAAGAAAAAAGGTAGTACTAGTTTTAAAGATGGCCTTAGCTGTGAGTTCCAACATGGAATTGGTTGTCCATGAGGTCATGGGGCCTGAGGCCCTCTGAGCAATGTTACTGACACTCCATGTGGTGGGCTGGGCCCAGCATCCACACACTCTCCTTCCAGAACCGAGGGAGCACTGTGAGCAGACAGGCTCCCCCAGCAAGCCTGGGCCAGGGCCCCGGAGCCAGGATGGAGCCAGGAGCTGGCCAGGCAGAGGCACACTCCAGCAAATCAACCAGGAAGCACCTCACTCGAGTACAAAGGTTTCAGGGGAGAGATGACAGATCTGAGCATACATAGATCTGTTCTTTCCAAGGAGGAACTCAGAGTGCTATGTACGCTGTCAGTCACTCATATAGCTAGGGAGAGATGGCCTGGGCCTGAGCCCTGTACTTGGATGGTAAATTCTATCAAAGGAGACATGCTTCCTGCCCAAGAGAAGCTGACAGCCTAAGACTGGCTGTGAGGAAACTACTTGATCAAGTCCAGATCTTCACTCTATAACTGAAGAAACCAAGGCTCAGAAAGGGGCAGGGACCAGCCCTAAGTCACACAGCCAATCCACAGACCAAGCAGAGGTGAAGGCAATCCCCAGACTCGGCCAGAGGTACTTCTTACCATAGCCTGAACTTAAACAGTTCCATTCCAACGGAAGCCCTGCTGTTCTGGAAGAGATGCTAGGCCTTTCCAGAATCCGACTTAAGGCTGTCTTCCAGGATCTGCTGTCAAGGCCTTTTCCTCAGGGAATAGCTGTTGGCAAGGGCAAGCAAGGTATTGATTATGGCTGGGGTCAGTGGCCATGAGTAGTTTAGATTGGGGGGTGGTGTGTTAGGGGGAATAAGAAGGGATGAGAAGGGCAATGGAAGTTTCTCTGAAAAACAAACCTATAGGGCTGGGGAGTTAGCTCAGTGGTTCTGCTCCCTGCCTTGAAAAACAAACCCAAGGTATGTTTATTTATTTTTACTTTTGCTTATATTTTCTGATTTTTCTGTGGTTATATAACTAGGTCTTTGCATTTGAAAGGGGTAATAGGCAATGGTCTGGAATACGGGGCCGTCTTGGCCCTGCCTGGCTGTGTGAACTCCGGCAGGTCTCCACCCTTCTCTGGGCCATTCTTAGAAATGCTGTGAGAGGGAAATGAATCAAGGGCTCCTGGCTTGGGAATAGCTGTGTAGTTTATCTATGGGGGCCCTCTAAAGAAAGAATGAAACAACCAAGGAGTGAGGCATCCAAAGAAAAGCTAAAGTTCTGAGAAGCCTACTTTGGCTGTATGCACATCCAGCGCTGCCCACAGGTCAAGGATGTGCCCACCCTAACCCCACACAGGACTTCCCTGAGGAGAGTGAGGATGGCTCACCAAGCTTCAGCAAGATCTACATGTGCTCGGATTCCAGGCCTACTATCAACAACCTGCTAGAGACCTGGCTCCCTGGAGTGAGGGAGCCCAGGAACGGGACAATGGAAAGGGAGACTGCCTGGTGTCAGTTATAGATGCATTGGGAGGAGGCACCATCCTGAGTGACAGGGTAGGACCAGCGTGGCTGACCACTAGGTGCCTGGAGAAAAGCCTGTGTGAGGACCGGACAGGTGAGGGCCACACTCCAGGCTGATCAGTTACCCAGGACCTGCCTCCCAGTGAAAGGATAGAATAATTTTAATGTGCATGTAGTATTTAGAACTGAGCCTAGCATAAAATAAGTGGACAATAAAAGCTGCTCACGGAAAGTTAGCCATGGCCCAACAGGACAGCAACATGAAGCAGTGAGTCTGAAAGGGAGAGTCCCTTAGTCCTGGCCCACCTGCCTTGCTGGGTACTCCCTTTGGGAAGGCTCAGCCCCTCCCCCACCACCTCCAACCAATGTTGACCATCTCACCACTTATGGGGACAGACTGTTCTGGGCTGTGGTGTCACTTTCTGGTCTTCCCTTGCTGCCTTCAGTCTGTGGGGGATCAGAGCTCCCCACTAAATTATTTCCCCACCTGCCTCCATTCTTCGCCTCCCTCAGCCCTAAGCTATAACAAGGCCTGGAATTCTAGCTTAGGCAAGGACCTCAGAACCTTGGCGCTGGAAGGCAGTGGGTGCCTGACGGCACCTCCTACAATGACGTACACAGTGGGGGAACTGAGACTGAGGGGGGAAACCTACCCTTGCACCCCATCCCTCACCCATTGAGTCAAAGCAGGGCTGGGCCTCAGCCAGGCCTGGGTTTTCTCCCAGACTCCTCTGCTCTCAGGGGTTCCCCTGAGGCCACACTGGAGACTTTGCTTCTTCCACCCAGTGCAGACACTCCTCACCTGGTCTTCGTCTGCCATGTCCTCTGCAGCTCTGTCTGGGGAAATTCTTGCCAAGTGGGGTCAGCCCCTCAGGAGCAAGCAGCTAAGGAGCTTCATATGTCCAGGCCAAACTCAGCATGGTGGTGATGGGTCTTGGATGCTCCCTCTGATAGTGGTTGCCTGCCTAGCCAGTGAGGCTGGGGAGAGGAAGACTCCTCTCCCTTTTGCAGGTAACTGGGCTCCTGACTTGGGTGCAGTTGGTACCAAAATTTAACCCCAAAACCTTGGGCAAGAGAGATGTGGAACAGGGCAGGGAGGCTGGAGGATAAATGTATTTAGGTTCTTAGGAACTTATTTCTTCTCCTTTCAAAACTTTTCTGGGTCCCAAGCTACTATTTCCACTAAGCTAGCAGCCACAGGGGGAAGAGAAGGGCAAGTTGCTTGATGATGGCCAGCTCCGCTCATGCTCTGGGTGGGGACAAATGTCATTGTCTCCAACCTCACAGGAACCTTCAGAGTTAGGACTATCATTGATCAATTTACAGAGGAGGAATGTGAGGTTCAGAGAGGTCATGCAGAACTCGAGTGGCTAAACTGGGGTTCCAGCTCCCCCTCTGCCAGAGCCCACATTCTACCCTGCAACAAGCAGGGTCATTCCAGCAGCCCAGAATGGTACGCTGTGGTCTCCTGGATCGGTGAAGGGAGAGGCTTGTGCTGTACTGGGGTTTCAGACACTGTGGCTGTGGTTGCAGCTGACTCACGCCTCGATCTTGACAAGGCAGCAGATTTCACATTCATGGAATGAGGGGCATCATCTCAAGTTCAGGTGAGGTAGTACTAATCAACATCAGCACATTTTTAGCCATGCCCAGAACACCTTTTGGGAGCCAGACCCATTGTCAGGGGATTTCTGTTGGTTAGCTGTAAAGACAAGACCTGGGATTCAAGAACCCAGCTATTTCCTAGTTGCATGACCCTGGACCAATCCCTTTACCTCTCTGTGCCTCCAATTCCTCATCTGTGAGGTGAGGAGACTTAGCTCCTCTCTCTCAGGATTGTGAAATTACGTGAGTTAATGTCTATGAAGGGCTAGAAGGATGCTTGGCACAGGATGCACACCTACCATGTGTGTTAGACAACACTGGGCTTAAACTTGTGAGATAGGTGTTTTTTTCTGCAGAGAACAGATGTGGAAACCGTTGAGGCAACAGTGCAGTGATCCTCACCTTTAGTGCAAACGAATCACCTGGAGAGTGTTAAAGTCTTGAGGGCTGGGCCTGACTTCCAGTTTCTGGTTAGGTCATTCTGGGCTGGGACCTGACTATTTGCATTTCTAGATTGTTCCTTGGATAATGCTGATGCTGCTGGTCAGGGGCCCATGCTTTGAGTCCCACTGCTTTTGGGGACCTGACTGTGGGTGCTGTTATGGCAGGGGGCAGCCAGGGCCAGTGCTAATGGGAATAGTGATTTGGAGCATGAGTAGATAGGCAGGATTATAAAGAGCATAAAGAATCTTAGACCAGTAGCCCCAGGCTTCTAGTCCTGAACTGGCTCCCAATTCTTTAAAGCACTCTCAGTAAAACAGGGGTGACAATAATCCTCCTCACAGGGCTCTGTGCAGATGAAACAGGGTGTACGGAGAAGCCCTGGAACAACTCACACGCTATTGTACATTGGCAGAGTGGTCTAGGGTGAAGAAGTCAGGCACTGAGTGCGCACTATGATCCTTCACGCTGTCCCTCTCCTCTCCCAGAACTGAAGGATGTTGCTCACGTCCATTTCTTCCTTGAATCTTGGTTGGGAAGATCACCACACACTGTCCCCCACACCCATGGCAGAGGGCAGCATGCTTGCTGAGGCCACAGGCTTCATCATAAAGGGGCCTGTGTCTCAGCCACTCACCTCCCACTGTGTGTCCAGTGGTTTTCTATTTCAGTTGCTGTAAAAATATCACCTTTGATCTCAGCTTGTGGCTCTTGAAAAAAAGGAAGAAACCAACAGACTGGGTTTTCATTCTCCTCCGCCCACCCCTCACCTCAGCTCCCTACCCTCCCTCTTCCCTCCTCTCTCCCTACTCATCCCTTCCTCTGGATCGCCAGTACCCAGCTGGACCTGGAGCATCTCAGCCCTTTAGGAATCCACTGGCCCTTCTATCTCTGCCTCCCCCCCCCCACATGCCAGCATGGGGTGGTTCACTAAGGAGGGAGTATAAACAAGGGGAGGATATGGGAGATGGCCCTCTCCCCTCCTCCCTTTATCTCTGCCCCTTCCCTTCTGCTTGTAGGCCAAGAATCTCTAAGATTCCTGTTTGGCCAGGTCTAGGCCACTTCTCCAGCTGTCGGCAAGCACATGGTATCAATCACAGGCCTGCATCTGTGAAGTCTCGAGGCCTCCCCAGAGTGGAGTGAGAACAGCTCATGGGGCCTAAATGTTTACATCACACCATCTACTCAGAGAGAGGGGACAGCCGGGTTTGCTGGAGAAGTGGCCTTCAGGCCTGATGGCTCAGCAGGCAGGGCCCCCACCCCTTACCTTTCCTCACAACAAACTCTGGGGGAAGCACAGTCTGCTGTCTCCAGCAGTCCCCGTGCTTCAGCCTCTGCACTCGTCTTCCCAAAGCATTCTTGGATCTATTTGATCCATGTTGAGGCCTCTGAACCTTCAGGTAGGAGTCACCTTCTTACCTGCTGGGGCCCCTCCTGCCTGCTGCTCTTCTCTCTCTAGTGAGGACATCTTCAAGGGCTCCAGCTCTAGCAGAAGGTGCAGAGAATCCTGCCACCTCCCCAAGAAGTTTCTTGCCCGATAGGCATTTTGTGCCCATGGAGAAGGCAAACAAGGCTTAAACCTCTGACTCATTCATATAAGGCTTTGAGCTGTTGTGATGTATTTCTTGGCTTTCAGCTTTTAGAGAAAGATAAAATAGCACTCATTCAACAAACACTTTTCCACAGTTCATATGTGTCTGGCTCTGTGCTGACACGGCCACTGAATGCCTTCTCAGGCAGCAGCCCATTTGCCATCCTCTTTGCAGATAGACACATAGATGTGTGCTGAGGTCAGGCAACCTGGCTGGCCCTGAGTGCAGAGGCTGGGTCACCTGGGGGAGGTGGTGGAAGAGCAGAAAAGGCAAGGCTGCGAATTTGCAGGAAGCTGGGGTGTCCGTGATGGCATGGGCAGCCCTGAATGGATCCACACCAGAACGGCTGTTAAAGCACTTGACTGCTTCTGGAGCCAGGGCCTAAGGTGCCACTGCAAGATTGGAAAGCACCAGTGTACCAAGTGTCCACAGGGAAGACC